TATCAACAAATAATTCAGAAGTTGATAAAGATCATTTGTCATTTAATGAGTTAGGATTTAATAATGTAGAGGAGGCAGTCAAAGTTACCCCTTTTGTATATTTAACGACATTTATTATTGCAATTGGTGGATTTATGTATGGGTAAATATTTATTATTTCGATGCTGTTCACTTCGTAGATAATCATTTCGTAGACACTTTACTTCACCAATATGAGTTCACAGACAGTCAATTCATAAACAAGTTTATTTCATATATAATTTATTTTACCGACAGCTGATTTCATTTATTTCACCGACGGTCATTTCATAGACTAAGTAATTCCAATCATTATCATTAGGGTTAGTTTAGAATTAAAGTATAGGTTAGTGAAATTTATAAGAAAAAACTTTTCTATGAAATGAGCTGTCGGTGAATTAATTGTCGATAACGTAAGTGATTGTCAGTGAAATATTATGGATCCATTTATTTTTCAAATTATTTATTTTTTCCAAGACTTCATATTATATCTTTGTATGATTGTATTGCATAGGTATAATAGCGGAGTTATTAGTGGTGCTATGTTGTTATTGGAAAATGATATTCCTATGACAAGTTTTCAAAAAGGATTGGTTGTTGGAGGTGAGTTATTTTAATCTAATATTGGTTTGAATGAAAACCCATATGCATACTGTAGTTTGTAATAAATATTATCTACAATTTGCGATAACTTAAATTGACATAGTTATATGAACCCTTATTCAGGAATAGTCTGGTGTTTTGTAAATAGTAGTACAATTTTTTATAAAAAGTAACTAACATCCAATTCCTGGGGTGAAACACCTTTCCTACTAAAACAACTCTTTGGAATTACTCGCAGACTGGCAGATTGTATTCGTATCCTACCGTATCCAATACCACCACCCCTACTGCAACAAAGAATCATTGCCTTTTATAACTATCATTAGATAATAAACATTACTTTTTATACGACGCGACTACGTTACACGACCCGTTTTTCTGATCAAAGATCGTCAAACATTTACCAATTTATACTTAGATCACAACATTTAGGATGAGAAAGATCACAGATCATACCCAATTAACAAGGACTTGGAAAAAAATTTATTTGGGTATCAACTAAATTTGATAAAATTTGGTGATACTTAGCCATTAGAAAAACATTGTAACAATCAAATAACACGATTGTTGTGCAACTGTAACAAGTGAAAGAACTTTTCTTTATTCATTCCGAACATCTCCGACAGAGATGTACCACAGTTCCTAAAACTCTCGGCTTATTCGAGACTAACCCAAAATAAGATCAAAAACTGTACCACAAAATATACACAATTTTAACTATGTTAATCATACATTCGTATTACGTATGTATTATTCCTTGATACGTGTTGCATTAGATAAATTATGTAACACTATATTACATTCCTTGCCTTAATATATACAGCAATAAGTTATCTTCTTACAACTGCAAAAAATAAATTTTTATCATTTAAAAATTAGTTACGTATAAAAAAAAATTATTTATATAATAAAATAATCAGTAATCAATAGGTACTAGGTTAATGCGCAACATACTACCATATGAAATTACACAAACGCGTAAATATTATGTTCTTGTTACACTAAGTACTAATATAGACACACGTGCGGATGAATAAAAAATTTTCAGTTTTTGTACGTATCACTGGACGTAATAATTGCAAGTATGTATATATCGATAAACATACAGTAGCCATTTCTCCCCTGGTCATTATCTGCACTTGTTTGAGATATTAAAATCAATAATTTTCTGGTTTATAATCCATTCGTGTGATTATGGTAAATTTCAGAATTTTACTTACAAAATGCTATGCATTACGGTGATAATGAAAAAGATTCGAAATAATGATTTTACGCGTAAACAAATGCTACAACCTGTAGGATTTGGTTAAGCACAAATAACAACAATAAATTAGTCATTCCATTAAACTGGCATATATCAAAATTAGTGTCGGAAAACAATTGTTCGTTAGTCTATTAAAATATTTTTATGAACGGCAAATCAAATGAATGCTTTGAATGTTAGCATTCATTTAAGCCCAAAATCATTAAAAATGAAACGATCTTAGAGTATTGGTGTGTCACTTAAACGATCACTCATCATGTAACAATAGGTTATTATATGGGTTATAAAATAACTAAATTTGCACGGAGTTACATGGCCGAAGGCGATGAAACTTAACCCGTGCAAATTTAGTTATTTTTTACAACCCAGACAATAACCGTAACTGTGTTACATATCGGTTTAATCACAAACACACTGTAGTGCAAATCATATAGTAAATTATAATATGACAGGGTGAAACCCGCGAAAGTGGTTACGTTATTGATGCAGATCACTATCTAATATAGTAACTAACCCTAACTAAGTAAGATCTGTATCAACAACGTAACTATCTCTGTCGCGGGTTTCACCCTTTCATAGTGGATTTTTGTCGATCACTTTTCTTAATAGTAAAAATATAGAAAAATTTAAACACTTATAACTTCTAAACTACAGATAAAATTATGTTTAATGGATTCCTCTCGGCATTCTCTTTAAGGTAATAGAGCCATTTTTAATATTTTCTTAAAACTAATTAAGGTTTTCTTAGAATCAATTAGGCTTTAACAAATAGATTTTGTTTTAACTTATATAAAAATTTAAAGAATGGCTCAATTACTTTAAAGAGAACGCAGAGAGGAATCCAATAAACATAATTTTATATGCATAGGTTTAATAATTTGGAAATTATAAGCGTTTAAATTTTTCTATATTTTTACTATTAAGAAAAGTGATCGGCAAAAAATCATCATTATTAGAATTTACTACGTACGTACATGATTTGCACTATGTTTGTGATTAAACCAATATGTAACCCTAATGTAACAATGATATTTCGTGAATGATAAACTAGGTTTCTATGATTTTGAGCTTAAGCGAGATTTACTATTTATAGCATTCATTTAAATAATTCAAAAATCTTAAAACACGAAAAAAATTAGTTGCACATTACTTATTTTAGTCTTTTCAGCGCACACTTAACCTAGCATTTATCCGTTTTGTGTGCAGTTGTTCATAGTTTTATGCAATTACTTTGTGCGACTGCTTATTAAATATCGTTATACGATGAAATAGGTGAAACATATTATTCCAACAAAAATCCAAAAAATATTAATTTTTTATTTACAGGGATTACATCTGCTAAAAAAATTGAGACCAACATGTCAGAACGATGGCTTGAGAAAGCTGTTTCTGATAAGCAAATTATTAAATTTGAATATCAAAGGTTTACTAAAGGTGTAAAGGTTGGCGATGGAGGTTTTGGAACCGTATATAAATATGAGTGGAAAGATAAAAATATATCTGTAGCTCTTAAATGTCTTAAAGTTGACGTAAATTTGAATCGAGAAACTACTAAAGAATTTATTCGTGAGGTATCATTTATTATGCTCTTTTTTTTTTTCTTTTGATACAATAAAACTTTTATAATTTTTATAATTTTTAAAATATTGTATTTATTATTATCAAAGCTAAAACTATTACATAAAGTGTGCAATCATCCAAATATTATTGAATTTTACGGAATTACAAAAGGCATGCATTGTTTAATTTTTTCTTTTATATAAAATTATCGTACGTCAATGTTCTGCCATAACACAATTTTGATCATATTTGTACGGTTTGAATTTAAAATTTTTATTAGAAGAGCCGATAATATTCCAATAAGAATTTTAAAACTCAACCGTACAAATACAGCATGATCAAAATTTTGGTGCGGCAGTACGTAACTACAGCCGGACGATCGTATGGATGTATAAAAATTGACACGATAGTATAGATGTATATCAGTAATCGGATCAAATATCTGTCAGAGATATATGGGTCATAACTGCGGCCCATATATCACCCATACCACCGTACCCAGTGTTGGCATTGGTCATATGACATATAAAGTTCATATGACCGATATTTTTTTAAATTATTTTTTTTTTTATCCATCATACGATAACTTACAAATATTGTTCTCAAGTAATTATTTTAATTCTAAATTCTTTTTAATAAAATAGATGATCAAGGATATTATAACATGGTTTTACAACTTGCTAATAATGGGAATTTACGACAATATTTGAGAAAAAACTTCAAAAAATTACAGTGGAAGGATAAATTACATATAGCAAGTGAAATTCTGAATGGTCTTATATTCTTACATGATAAGAATATTATTCATCGGGATCTCGTATGTATATTATGTCTTGTGTTTTATATAGACGTAATTTTTTTGAATATATAAATTAATTTCTTTATTTTTTTCAGCACACAAAGAATATTTTAATTCACCAAGGGCAAATAAAGATCACTGATTTTGGATTAGCGAAAGAAATGAATGAAACTTCAAAATCTTCTACTTCTGCTGTTCAAGGAATGACTGCATTTATTGACCCTCAATGCCTTATTATTCCTAGATATAAACGTAATAAGAAATCTGATGTTTATAGTTTCGGTGTAGTCCTCTGGGAAATTTCAAGTGGCAGACCTCCATTCGAATTATATGATTTAGGAGTTATGCTTGGTATTCACATAATTCAAGGAAATAGAGAAAATCCGGTAGAAGGCACACCGCCTCAATATGTTGAACTTTATAAAAAGTGTTGGGATCATGATCCAGCAATTCGTCCTGAAACTAAATCAATTTATTTGATTTTAAATAACATAAATACCAATAACCTAATTTCTGATACTGTAGTAACACAAAACGATAATTTAATTGATTCATCTGTTGAAATTACTGATGACTCAATATTTTTGAGCGATTCAGATGAAATTGCATCGTCTCCTATTAATGTTCATTTGTCTGAAGTCCAGAAAATACTTGACGATGAAGTTGATGTTCAAAAACTTACATCTCAAGATAATTTTCTTGAAAACAAAAGAAAAGAAGTTCATAAATGTTTGAACGAAGGCAATTTTATTAATGCACTTGATCTTTATCAAGAAATTCTCAAAAATAACAAACATAGTATCGAAGATCAGCAAAATGCGTCAAATTGGGACTTATCAACTACTGATTTTAACTCAAAAAAAATTAATGAATTAGCAGAAATTCTTCATAAGAATATAATTCTGACTTCTTTAGATCTTAGTGGAAATTATCTTGGTCCAGAAGATGGAAAGATATTAGCGAAAGCTATTTGTAAGAACTCTACTCTGACTTCATTAAATCTTAATAATAATCGGCTCGGCGCTGAAGGTGGAAAGGTATTAGCTGAGGCTCTTTGTGAAAACATCACTCTAACTTCTTTAGATCTTTATGGAAATGAGATTGGTTCAAAAGGTGGAAAAACGATAGCAGATGCCCTTTGTAAAAATACCACCCTTACTTCTTTAGATCTTTATGGGAATAAACTCGGCCTTGAAGGTGTAAGGGCAATATCAGAAGCTCTTCGTAAAAATTCCACTTTGACTTCATTGAATCTTCGTGACAACCAACTCGGTTCAGAAGGTGGAAAAATCCTAGCAGATGCTCTTTGTGAGAATACTACTCTAATTTCATTAGATATTGGGGATAATCAACTGGGTCCAAAAGGAGGAAAAGTATTATCGAAGGCACTTTGCAAGAATAATACTTTAGCTTCCATAGATTTTTCAGGTAATAAACTTGGACCTACAGGTGGAAAGGCATTAGCTGAAGCACTTTGCATAAATACTGGCCTAACATTTTTAGGGCTTTACAGAAATGATCTTGGTTTAGAAGGAGGAAAGGCGTTTTCTGAGGTTTTTAGCAAGAATACTACCTTAACTTCAGTAGATTTTAGATACAATAAACTTGGTTCTGAAGGAGGGAAAGCAATAGCTGATGCCATGTTCGAAAATACCACCTTAACTTCTTTAAATCTTGGCAATAATCAACTTGATTCTGAAGCAAAAGATCTGTTAATACGTTCATGTTACAAAGATGGTGTTATATATGTTTAAATGAGGAACGTGTCAGATATGGTAGAGTGAGTTGGGGTGGGAATGATATACCTGATACAATAATGCCTCCTTATAATCATCACCTCTTTAATTGCAATATCTACTTTTCAATAATAAATCCCTCTTTATAGTAACGGTATATAACAATATGTATAATCATTATAACATATTTTTATGCAATCTAATCGCAAAATATGTGTATATACTTTGCTGAAAATTGCTAATTAAGTAGTAGACGTATTGCTAATATATAGTAAATCTATTAAAATAATAAAGTAACTAGCTCCACACGTGGCATCATGTGCCACATCTTATATTTTATATGTAGAATAGGTATTTATAATATGATATACCGGGTGGGTGAAAGTCTCTATACAGGTCCTAAT